TCTGTGAAAATACCCATAGCCTCTTCCCCCACGTTCACTGATGCCATCACTGAGAGAAAGAAAGCTAATCAAGGGTACAAGGAGGAAACCTGTCTGTGTTTATCATTTACTGCTCAAAGAGGGGCAAGATTTCTTCCCTATATTGTCTCCCCTCCTAGGGAGACCTTTCAAAAAAAACACATAGCAGTTTTATTTACAATAGCCAAAAATACAAGCAATGCAGATATCTGTAAAGTACTGAATGGATAAATAAATATTGATACATTTATAACATGGGATACTACTAATCAATAAATAGGGATCACCTATTTACAATATACAACATAGATAAATCTCAGAAGCAGACATAGAAGGATATGTACTAGAGCAATTGAAACTCAAGTACCTGTACAAACCAAACATCAAGCTTCATTCTCTCGTTTTTGTTCTCATTCAACAAATTTAAAGTTAAAAATGTTAGAAAAGCAATGAAAAGTAATCACTACCGACATTGAAGTTATTAGTGTGTGTGTGTGTGTGTAGTGGCTCTACCATTTGAGCCACACCTCCCTTCTGACATTTTTCTGGTTAATTGGAGATGAGGTCTCATAGACTTTCTGCCTGGGCAAGCTTCAAATCTTGGTCTTACAGGTCTCAAGTTCCTAAATGGCTAGGATTATACATGTGAGCCACTGGTACTGGGCTGGCTGTTTTTCTTTTACTATGTAGCTATATAAATAGTATTCTGTGGATGCTCTAGACATTATTACCTGTTTGGGCTATTTACTCCCTCCTTTTTTTAAACCATAAAGAAACTGCTGAAATTATTCCTTTATCTTAATCTTTGACTGCTTGTCTGATTACATTTCCTTACATTAGATTTCTAAAATTAGAGCTGCCACATCAAAAGGTATAAATATTTTCACTGGATCTTGCCAAATTGCTTTTGAAAAAAATTGGGCCAATTTTTGTGTCTACTAACCGGGTATGAGGGCACACTTCTTATTGCATGCTTGTCATCATTATTTGTTGCATTGTTTCAACTGAAGTTACTGCCTCAGTGGAGAAAACCTTTTCTCTCTTTGATGTGAGAAGTGGCTTAACACATTTTTCCTATTGATATGTAAGGTCTTTTGCTATGATTTTATAAGTAGTGTTTTCAGGCTATGATTTGTAGTTTCATTTTTATCTTTTAATATTCTAGAAGTTAATTTTATATAGTGAGATTTACTATTTTGTTGTTTTGCTCAATTACTCTTATACCTATGATATCATCTTTCTCAAATCCAGTTTTGATCTGTCTCCTCTTTTTATCTAAATTTTTATATGTACTTCAATCCTATGTACCTCAATTTTATTTTTACATGTGGCATAAAAATAAGGATCTTGTTTTGAGGAACTGGGATGTAGTTCAGTGGTTAAGTGCTTGCCTAGTATATCTGCAATGCCCTAGGTTTAATTTACAGCAACACACACACATCATCATCATTCTTATTTTTTGTGTAAATGTAATCTTAGCAACATATTACCTTTAATTGTTTTTGCTATTTTTGTATTGGCTATTTAGCTATGTAGTCAATTACCCTAAATTTAAATTTTTTGTTGTTGTTGTTGTGAAAATACTGTACAGAGGGGTTACAATTACATGGGCAAGATAGTGAGTACATTTCTTATCAAGCATTGTAGCCTCCTCCTTTGTTTACCCTTCCCATCCCTTCCCAGCCTCCCCCCGCCCCTCCACCTAATCCTCCCCCCCCCCCACCAAAGTTGTAAAGTTCGTTTTCGACATGACAACTTGTACTTCTCATTGTTGCAATGGGTCCACCTGTATCCTTATTTAAATGACTTGTTTTTCCCTTCCCCAAATTTAAATATTTTTAAAGACATTTATTATCTCTCAGCATCTGTGCCACAGGAATTCAGGAGTGCTTTGGTGAGTGATTCTGGCCAAGGGTCTTTAAGAGGTTATAGTTCAGGCAACTGCTGGGGGCTGTTTTCATCTGTTGGCTTGCTTGATGCTAGTAGATTTGCACCGCTCTTGGTAGACTCAGTTTCTGTTGACAAGTGGTCATGATTCCTTGCCACATTGATGATTGAGTGTCCTTACAACATGGCAGCTGGTGCTCACAGAGCAAGTGGTCCAAAACAGAGGTAGAACAAGGCACAAGGGCAGTATCTTTTTTTTAATGGCCTCTGAAGTGGCATTCCTTCACTTTATAGAGAGCAGTCTATAAGTTATGTGGGAGGTACTCTATGAGAAGTTTGAGTGTTCAAGGGCTTGAGCCACTGTGACTCCTCCAAGAGGCCAGTTGCCACACTTTCCTTCTAGGAGAGGAAATTTACAATCATTATATCTTTGACTGTATAGAAACTTACTTATTCAACATTGCTTTTGTCATTTATATCCTCAAACCCACAGGTAGCATTTGGAAGTTTCTTCTTCTCTTAATTTTCTGTAACTGTCTAAATCTTAGATTTAAAATCAAGTGGGTCTTATTCTCAGAGTCTTTGCATCATTGATTACAACTTGCTTAGGGACAAATGACCACTCACTTATGATTTTCTTTTCACTTCTCTCACCTAGCACTTAATGAAGTAATAAAACAAGTTAAATTATACAACAACAGATAGAAATTAGTTTTATTCATACATACATACCTGTAAAACAGACAATACACATATATCCATACATTCTTTTTTTTTTTTGGTTGTGGGGTTTGAACTCTGGGCCTGGGCGCTGTCCCTGAGCTCTTCAGCTCAAGGTGAGCGCTCTACCACTTGAGCCACAGCACCACTTCCAGTTTTCTGGTGTTAATTGGAGATAGAATCTCATGGACTTTCCTTCTTGGGCTGGCTTTGAACTGTGATCCTCACATCTCAGCCTCCTAAGTAGCTAGGATTACAGACATGTGCCACTGGCACCTGGTTTTCCATGCATTCTTTGAATAGTAAGAAAGACCCCCACAGCATTAGTTCAGGGAGAATCCCAGAGAAAGGAAGAAAAGAAAAGAAAAGGAAAGGAAAGAAAAGAAAAGGACTCGTCCAGGGCCACACAGTGATAAAAAGTTAATACAAACCTGTTTTTCCACCTACCTCCCTTCTCAACACTTCATACATTTATAACTGTATGGACATGTACTTGACTTTCGAGTGTGTTCAGAGTGGAGAGGGATTGCTAAACTATTGTTTGGAGAGGAGATCTTGCTCAGCCTCTGCTCAATTTCTTCTCTGAGGTTTGGCTGTGGCAATTCCGGTCAACGCTAAATTGGATTTGCAGGAGCCAGAAAGTTGCTGAGCACATACCAGAGTTGGATACTTGGGCAGTTTCCTAGCTCCCCAGAGCCTTTGACTTTATTTGTGATCCATGATTCCCTCTACCATGCATTTTCAGAAAGCAAACAGGCAATCAAATACTGTGGTAATTGCTTCCTTCTGTGTGGATTTCTCATCCCCAAGCTGCCTGGCAAGTAGGAAAGGGGTCAGGAATTAGATCAGTGTACCCATGGACTTGGTGGACAACTCACACTTTCCAGCCGAATCCTTACTTCAAATATTCTATCCTGTTGGCCTTAAAAACAACACAAATGCCCTAGAAATTCCAACATCATAACCACATTTTTCTAAAGTGTTTTCTTTACTGGTGAAGGAAGCACAGAAGTCCTTTGTTCATCCCAGTATTGCTTTGAAAAATGTATTTCTGTTCTTAAAGAAAGTAGACTTTTTTTGTTGTTATTGTTGTTGTTGTTAAGTGTGGGGTTTAGAGAGGACAAAACAGTGCTATTTGGGGAATATCAAGTTAGAAAGAGCTGATCCAATATTCCAGATCTCTACAGAAATCCAAGCAAGCTTTCTTCCTCTTCTTTTTTTCCCATTTTTTTTATTAATATATTTTTATTGTAAAGATTCTTTCTCTTCAGCTATTCATTTAGTGTGTGTCCTGGCATTTAGGTCAGCTTCCACATCAACATCTACAAGGTAGAGGATATGACAGTGAAATTCAGCTGATTGTGGTTTGGACTTTGATCCCAGAAGTATATAGTCTAAAACAGGGATATGAGATATGGATATACATGATAATGGTACAAATTTGAGGTAGAGATTTCCCAATTGGGAACATTTAGAAATATTCCAATTCACTAAACTATAACCAAAATGACCATTTATTTATTTTGTATTGTATATTTATTATACAATACAAAATGTATTATTAATGTATGTATAATACAATATGTATTATTGTATATTTATTGTGTATTGCAGTATAGTGATGTAACTCACACATAATGGCTTACATCAATTATCATCATTTGTGCCTTTATAATTCTTGATTGTGGCCATGCTAGACAGCAGTAACACACATGGTTTATGTGGGATGGCTCCTCTGGAACTGTAGGACCCAGGGTGGATTCCTTCATATCTCTGTCATTGGGGCTGGGATGGCTAGGACAGTTGGAGCTTTCCTTCTTGAAGGGGAACTGCTACTTGGTAGCTTGGGATCAGAGAGGAAGAGTGGAAACTCAGCACTGGCACAGTCACTTGCACTATATTCTAGTGATAATAACCAGCAATGGGTTCATCCAGGGATCCAGATCTATTTGCATGGGTGAATGGAATGACTACATGGAAAGGAGATGAATGTTTTTGTGGCCACCTGTGCAATATACCACACTTACTTAAAAACAGTGCATTCATCTAACAAGCTGAAGAATGGGATCTCACTGTCTGAAATAACACGTTTTTGCCACTGGTGAGGGGTACTTGTGTTTTTCTCAGGTGTCGGTGCGGATGAGTTTTGTATGACAATCTCTGTGAGCAGTTACTCACCCTTGATATGTCTCTTCCTGTTATGTCCAGCCCAGATTAAATGATTTCTAAACATTTCTATTGTGAATGAGCCTGCCCAGTCTGTAGTGATCCTTCAAAGTTTCTTCTCTGGTCTTTGCTCATCTCCTTTCACACTTTTGTTCTCCATCACTTCCCTGACTTCTCACCAAGGTTCCCGACTCTCTCTGTTGTTCCAGGCACTAAAACAGGTGCAGATATTACTGATGGTACCTGTGAGCCTGGACTGTCTTCCCCGGCCTCCTACATGAACCTCTTCCCAGTGAGCCATCTCATCGAGGAACTGAGGCTAGCCCTGGAGATGCTGGAGCTTCCTCAGGAGAAAGCAGCCCTTCTGAGCCAGATTCCTGGCCCTACAGCTGCCTACATAAAGGAGTGGTTTGAGGAAAGCTTGGTGAGTAGGCCCAAGGCATGATTGGAAACTGCTGAGAAACATAATCCTGCAGCCCATGAAATGCCACCATAGTCATTGCTATTGATTTATTTCTACATTCTCCACCCCTTTCTTGCTTCTCATTCAGCTTTGGGCAGTGGCCACTGGGTGGACCTTCCCAGCAGGAGTTTAGTCCCAATCAAGCAGCTTGAGCTATAACATGCTACCTTCTTGGGGGGTCTACAGCATCTCTGTTCTGAGAAGAGGAAATCCAGAGTCAGAGAAGGACAACCATGGTTAAACACCCAGCACCCAAGATTACAAGTACTACTTACTGAGTTCAGTCCCTGGACAGGATTTCTGTTCTCAACTGGATCCTATAAGTCCTTGTTTCTTAGCAAAGCCTAGAGCCTGCTTGCTTCATTTATTTCTTTGTTCTGTTTTGTTCTACTCCTTTCCCTAGAACTACTTTCTGTTCCTAGAATGGAATGCATACTTGCTAACTCTTCTGTTCTTTCCTGATTAGGCCCACAGATCTGCCTATCTATAGTGGAGGCAGATCTGTAACTAAGCTTTGCTTTGGGCTTTAGTTACCCATATGTTTTTGCATGGAGACTAGCAGGTCAATCTTAAGAGATTTGGTAATAGCTGGGAATGGTTAGGAGCTAACCCACAGGGGAAATAATCTGGGATGTAACTATTGAGGACTAGAGGACAGATGTTGGAAAGCCAGAGGAAGAAAGGGAAGGATGGAGGGAGGAAGGGAAGGAGGGAAGGAAGAAGGGAAGGAAAGAATGATCTAAATGGTGGAGGAAGAAAGGCAAGGAGGTAGAAAGAGAGGGAAGGAAAAAGGCTGTGACATCTAAGCTGAGCTTGAGGTGAAATTTAGAAAGCAGTCCTCTAATACTAGAGCCCTATAGACCTGATTGAAAATTGAGAAGTATACACAGAGGTTGGAGGTCAGGAATAGCAGCATTCATTTGGGAAGGAAGGATTGAGGCTGGAGACCACAAACCAAGGAAGCTGAGACACCCCTGTCAAGGTGGCTATCTCATTAGTAATTAGACAGGCTATGTCCCAGTTATCTTAGCCACCTTTCTGTTCTAGAGGCCTCTGTCAGTACAGGTTCATCCTCATGCCTTCCTCTGAACACTGAACAGTTCCTCATTAAATTCATTATATGTGTTATTCAATATTTTCATTACCTAAGCAGTCTGCCTGCTGTCCTGTATAATATGTGTATACCAGGGTGATAGGTAGTTAATAAAAAAAAATGCCTGCCCAATGTGATAGTTAATCATAGTTAATACTGAGATGATATGATAGTTAATACTGAGATGATATGATAGTTAATGATAGTTAATACTGAGATGGTGGACAACAAAGAGTGGCCTCCACAAGATGTCATGTATTAATGGACAGGACCTGTGAACATGTTACCTTCACAGCAAAGGAGAAGTTAGCAGATAGAATTAAGATGTCAGATCAGCTGACTTTAAAATAGGGAGGATGACCTGGGCTCACCAGGCACATCATAAGCAATCACAAGAGTCTTTCTAAGAGCCTTTTTGTTAAGCTCCAGGGACTCTTTTTACTAGCTTGCTCTTACTCTGCCCAGGTGTTAACTGTCATGTAAATGGAAGATTTCACTGAAGTGTCTTTATGGACAAAAGCCATCTGCCTACAGATTAGAAATAGCTGGATTTTGTTCCTCTCTGTACAGTTTACAGTGAGCATGGATGTCTTTTGGTCATCTTATATGGATGTACTTTATGTGATACGTTCTCCAGTTCTGACATTTTGACTATTTTAAACCTTTCACAAATACATGGCATTTCTGTAATGAACATCTTTGTCCAGAAATATTTGTTCTTACTTCTAGATATTTCCTAAAGTCTATAGACTTCAAGGAGGGCAACCAGTTAAAATATAGTATGTGCAGCTAAATTTCATTTTAGATAAACAGTGAGTAAACAGATTTCTAAATCTGGAACTCTGATCTGAAAGTATTGATACCCTTAAGACTTTTGAAACATTTTTCCAGGTCAGTTTTCAGCAAACTTTTTTTTTTTTAACCTGAACTGGCCTGGAACCATAATCTTCCTGATTTTGGTTTGCCATGTAGCTAGGATGAAAGACATGCACAACCATGCTCAGCTATTGGTTTGCTTGATCCAGCCTAAAATCGTGATCCTTCCGATTTTTGCCTCCTAAGTAGCAGGGATTACAGATATACATCATCATATCTATATATTTTTATTGTGAGGTTTTGAAGTGAATCTATCACACAATGATTACAAAACAGCCTTAGTAATTTCATAAGGCAAAGAGTTTTCTTTCTTATTTTTTGCATTCTACATTTCTTTTTTTAGTAAGAAGGCTGAACATTTTTCCTTTATTAAAAAAATGTATGGATGATGATGATATTGTTATTGTTTTTCAGTGGTGGTAGGGATCAAATCTAGGGCCTGTACATGCTTAGCAGGCTTTCTACCACTGAGCTACATCTCCAGCTGATTTTTTTCTTATTTTTACTATTATTCTTCTGTATGATTTCTAAGCTGTAATCGCATACCTTATCTTAAAAACTAATCTCCATACATCCATGTTCATATATGCAGTATTTATAATCTATTTAAATTATTAAAATGAAAACCTTCCAGCAGGATAGTTTTAAGGAATCTGTCAAAAATTAGTTCTAATATTTTCTTTTTTTACACCACAGAAAATACCCAAAGCCCCTTGGATGAGTCTGTACCAGCATCCTAATCTGTGTTCTTTCTTGTATAGGATTTTAGTGCTTCCATGTTTAAATAGCCTTTAATACCCCCTTTGTTTTATAGGTGGCATATGTTTTCCTTACTTTGTTTTTCAATACTGTGAATGGTGATATATAGAATTAAGAAATTGTAATTAACTGCGCCACTCTTTGGGTTTCCTCTTTTCCTTTTGGCCCTAAAATGTCCTGTCTTAAACTCAGGTGAAAAACCTATTCATCAGTATCTACCTCAAATGGTCTGATTTTTATTTAATAGCTAACTAATACATTGATATTTTTAGTGTATGATATGAAAATTTGATCAACTCTGAAAATTTTTTCTGGAAATTGTTTAAATTATTTTTTGTCAAAGGCAGATGATGGTAGTGTTGGAGTTTGCAAGATGCATTACAGAAAACAGCTTGTGTTCAGGTTTAGATTTATTTGGGGATTATTTACTATGGTCTAGGAAATGTTCTCCTCTAGAAAGAAGATTCCCCTGGAAGTTATTGCATTCATAAATCTTTTAGAGTAATCATGGCTACCAGCAACCTATAAATGGTGTATCTTTAGGGGTCAGAAGTTCGTATAAACATTCCAGGAAATCAGAGCTAGACGTTAAAGGTTTTGATTCTGAACAGAGATGGCCTGTCTGTGTTTTAGGTCTTAAAGACCTACAGTTTGTTTACACTTTGGTTATACATACATTCCACAGTAGTTCTTATCTGTATGGAAATAGAACTCAGAGCAGTGTTCAAACTTACTGGGTATTTTAGAGCAGTCCTCTTAATTAGAAGGTCTTGCTACACAAACTTTGGTCTGTGGTCTAACAGCTTTGGTATCCCCGAGTAGCCTGTGAAAAATGTGGATGATGGGCCCCTGTGGGCCCCTGTTCTATACCTGAATCCTTTCAGGTGATTCCTAGGCAACATTGAGGTTTAAGAAACATTGCCTTAATCACAGAATTATTAACAAATTGCTTTAACTCACCCGACTTATTTTTAAAAAAGAATCATTTGTGAATTAAGATAAGGATTAGAACAAGTGAGGGAATCTGAAAGATTACCGAGGACAAATCAGAGCCTGGCCCCTTATGTGCTTGTTCCATCTTCTCCTGCAGACACATTGACTTTGCCACATAACTAATGTACTTCTCTGCCATAACAGTGACCTGATACAGTCCAACTCTGCCTTCTAACCTCTGAATCAGTTGGGATACTCTCTCCAGTAAAATATATGAACGATAAAGAGGTTTGTATATCACTGTCAAAATCCAGAGGTTGGCTCAGCTGCTCTGGATGACCTCACAGACTCTTGCTCTTCCCATCTTGATGCTCCACTCTCTTCAGGAATGGGTTTTTCCTCAAGCATGGCCCCAAGCTTTACAAGATGGCTTCTAAGGCTCTGGGCAATGTGACCTCTTAGACACAAACATTATTTTTCCCCCTCTCCATTCCTCCCTCCTTCCCTCCCTCCCTCCCTCCTTCTCTCCCTCCCTCCCTCCCTCCCTCCCTCCCTTCCTTCCTTCCTTCCTTACCTCCCTTCCTTCCTTCCCTCCCTCCTTCCTTCCTTCCTTCTTTCCCTCCTTCCTTCCTTCCTTCCTTCCTTCCTTCCTTCCTTCCTTCCTTCCTTCCTTCTTTCCTTCCTTCCTTCCTCTCTCTGTCTGTCTCTGTCTATTTGTCTTGTCTGCCTTTGAGGGAAAATCTTTCCCTGACATCCCCAACAGACTCCCCATTAGCCCACTGGTCAGGATTTGGTCACATGTGCATATTCTAGCTACAAGCCGGGTTTGGAAAACAAGTACAAGTTGCAACATCCCCAATTCAAAAATTCAAAATCTTGGAGTATTTTAGAGGTTTACATTAAGGTGTTCAACTGATGAAGTCTATACAAATACTCCAAGATCTGAAACACTGGTGGCCCCAAGCATTTAAAGTGAAGGATTCACGAGCTATATTTGCATTTCTGTACACCATGTTTGGGAGTGATCCCTGTCAGAAAGGAATGATGGAGAGGGTGGAGTGGGGAGAAATGAATGGCCCTGAGGAAGCAGATCCAAAAGTGACTGTCACAATAGCTTTAAATTTGAGTTTTTGTTCTTTTTTTAATTGATGACAAAAAGTGTACATAATTGAAGATTTGATGAGAAATCTTGCAAACAATATGGATTTAAGTTTTGTTTCTTATGATTGACTGACAAATTATTTCCATGATTCCTACATTAAGAGCAAACAAAATCAATAGCTGGGCACCAGTGGCTCAC